CTCCTCAATTGTTTTCTAGACTTTTCAGCTTTGTAGAACACATGTTTTTAAACTGCTCCTCAGTGACCTTCTGCATGTCACTAGTACATGCTGTCATAGCCACTTTCACCTCTAATTTTAATTTATTTAGATATCTCCCTTTTTGTGGTGAGTTTGGCTACAAGCTTATCAATCTTGTCTTTTCTAAGAGCCCACTCTTGGCTTCACTGATTCTTTGTATTGTTCTTAGTCTCCATGTCATTAATTTCTGCCTTGCTCCTTAAGGTTTCTTTCCATCTACTGCTGGGGTTGGCTACTTCTTGTTCTTCTAAGACCTTGAATTGGATGGTGAAACTATTCCCTTGACTTCTTTGTTGAACGTATGTGTAATATATCCATGTGTGTGCACACACACGTGAGGGTATATGTGAAGAGAAAAGAAGTCAACATTGGGGGTCTTTTCCTGTTGCTCTCCATCTTATTTTTGCCGAGATTAGTTCTCGAAATGATTTCATTGTGTTGGCTAGACTGGATGGCCATCAGACTGAGCAGGCTGTGCCTGCCTTCACCTCCTTAGCACAGGGCTTTCCTGGTGAGTGCTTCTGTATCCAGGGTTTATGTGCATGCTGGGACATCTGAACTTGGGACCTCATGCTTACAAAGCAAACACTTTATTCACTAAACTATATTCCCAGTACTCTTTTTCATTTTTTAGTATAATCATTCATAGCTATAAACTTGACTCTTAGAACTGCCTTTGTTCTATCTCAGAGATTCTGATATATTGTGCCTTCATTTTCGTTTTATTGTAGGAACTTTTCTCTCCAATTTCTTCATGGTCATTCAATAATGTTTTTGTCTCAATATGTTTGTGTAGTATCTTCCTGTACTGATTATTACTTTTACTCTGCTGTGATCTGATGACATACAAGAGAGTATTTTGATTCTTTTGTATTTGTTAAGACTCGCTTTATGACCTAAAGTGGATATCTGTTTTAGAGAAAGTTCAATAGGGTACTGAGAAAAATGTGTATTCCACAGCATTTGAAGGGAATACTCTACAGATATCTGTCAAATTGGTTGGATCTGTGCCATTTAATTCTGAAATTTCTTTGTAGAGGTCTGATCTGTATGATCTGCTTATTTATGGTATTAGGGTAATGTAGTCTCTATATTATATCAGGACCTGTCTGTCTTGTCATTTCCTCAGTTCCAGAATGTATAAATGAGACAGAAATATTTGGAAGTAGGCAGATTTCCCACATTGGTTGCCTGACCAGTGAAGTGAGGGCTATTATGGTTGGAAAGGCCGAGTGGAAGCCACTGGAGTTAAAGGATTAGAGATGTTAGTGCCACCGTCAAGGACTTAAAAGATTAGGGGTGGTGCTTCCCACCACATCTCCATCTAACTCCCTATTTAGGCTGTGCAGAAGATGGATGGATGAAGAATGACACTTGTTTATTGCAAGCTTAATTAAATAGTGACTTCAGTCGCATCTGTGATACCAGACATGGTTTCCCAGATAGACTAATGCACCTCCCAGGACCTGGTATGTAGCTACTGATTTTGCAAATGCTTTTTCTCCTCCATGTCTGCCCATAAGAACCATCAAAAGCAATTTTCTTTTAGCTTGCAAGGCCAGAAGGACATCTCTACAGTTCTGTCCAAAGGGTGAGTAAATTCTCCAGCCCTGTGCTATAACATAGTTCAGAGAGATCTTGATCACCTTTCTTTCACAAAGTATCACATTGGTCCATTACATTGATGACATTATGCTCATTTGGCCAAGTAAGCAGGAGGTAGCAAGCACCCTGGACTTGTTGGTAAAGCATATATGCATTACAGGATGGGAAATAAATTAGTCTTATTAAATAAAAACCCGGAGTCAGAGATTAGGGTGAAAGCTGAAAGATCAGAGAAGCAGAGCAGCCAGCCATTAGGAATTTCTTGCCTCTACAAAATCTCAGACCAAATGAATGAGGTACTGTCTCTACAAATCCTCAGACTGAATGGGCGAGATCCTGTCTCTACCTGCCTTACATTCCTGTCTCCACCTCCCCAGTGCTGATATTAAAGGCATGAGCCTCCCATGTGCTGGGATCAAAGGCATGAGCCTTCCGGGTGCTGGGATTAAAGGTGTGTGCCACCACTGCTCACATTGTTTCTCTTTTAGACTGATTCAGTCTTGTGTAGCCCAGGGTGGCCTTGAACTCTTGATCTTCCTGACAAATGGTGGGATTAAAGGTGTGTGCCACTACTTCATGGCCTCTATGGTTAACTAGTGGCTAGCTCCACCCTCTGATCTCCAGGCAAGCTTTATTTGTCAGAACACCAACAAAATATCATACAACACTCCATGATTAGGACAACAACAGGAAAACCAAGAGATGTTTCAATGAGGGTCCAGTATTGATGGTGTAGCAGAAGCCAGAGGCCTTGAACCAGACCAACAACTCGTTGCAATGAACGTTTGCAAGTGAAGCTGTGTGGACAAAAGGGAAGACTGTGTGCCACATGAAACTCCCAAGCCACTCTGACGAGTATGTGATGGGAAGGTGGGAGAGTGAAGGAAAGAGATTGAAGAAAGAAAGAAAAGTGAAGGAAAGAGGTTGAAGGAGTGAGATTTTTTTGGGTTTTGTTTGTTTTTTATTTTTTATTATTTCTCTTTTCTTTTAAAAAATTCTTCTAGGAGAGGGGTATCTTAGTTAGGGTTTCTATTGTTGTGAAGAGACACCATGACCACAGCTACTCTTATAAAGAAAACATTTAATTGGGGTGACTTGCTTACAGTTCCAGAGGTTCAATCCATTATCATCATGGTGGGGAGCATGGCAGCATGCAGGCAGATGTGGCGCTGGAGGAATAGCTGAGAGTCCTACATCTTGCAGGCAGCAAGAAGTTGACTGTGACATTGAGCAGTATCCCAAGCATACACAAGACTTCAAAGCCACAGTGACATACTTCCTCCAACAAGGCCATATCCACTCCAACAAAGCCACACCTCCTAATAGTGTCACTCACTATGAGATTATGGGGGCCAATTACATTCAAACTATCACAGTGAGGGAGGCTACAAGAGTACAGGGTGTTCATGGAAAGACTGGGAAATGAGTGGGATTAGTGTACATGATGTGAAATTCCTAAAGAATCAATAAATATGTTAATATAAAAAGAAATGAAGAATGTGAATAATATTTGTTTATAATGACAGCATTCAAGATTTCAAGTAAAGGTATTAGAAAATCCACAGTTACATCACCATTAGTATGGTGTGGCAGCTTTCCTCATGAAGTAATTGGTAATATTAATGAATATTAATTTTGGGTAAGGAAATTTGTCAACATTTAGAAAATCTTCAGAAATCCCTCCAGTACTTTGTAAGAGTCCAGTGTATTACTTTAGAATTTATGCTTGCTAAAAATCCATTCATTCAAAGTGAAAAATAGGTCAATATATTTTAATGGGCTGGAATTGATTGATATGGTTTCAGATTCTACATTACAACTTCCCTTTAAGATACTCTGGCTTGTCAAGTTTGGGTATAATATAAAGAATAATGCTCAAACATCACATGAGAGGTATTAAATTATTCTTTCCTTTCTTACCTACAGATCTGCATGAGGGCTTTTTTTTATTTCTCTACCAACTCAAACCACATATCACAACAGACTATTGAAGCATTTGTGACAGTCCACAAAGAGCCTGTATTAAGCCGTAAGTTAAGTAGATTTGTAAATGTGTAAAACAGAGGATGCTTTCTGAAGTTCCTAAACTTTTTGTATTTGAACGTATAATTATCTTTTATAACATTATTATTGATGTTAACATATAATAAAAGATTCATTATTATTATTTAAAAATGAAAACATTAAATTCCCAGGTAAAATGAAGGAACTAGAATATATCATCATGAGTGAAGTAACTCAGATCCAGAAAGACAAATATGGTATATATTCACTGATAATGTGGATATTGGCTGTTAAGTCATTGATATGCAAGTTTCTAACCATATACCACAGAGGCTAGGTAGAGAGTGAGGGACCAGGGCAGGGGGCAGAGATGGCTCTTCCTAGGAAGGGGAAACAAGATAGCTTTGGATGGATGAGGGGGCTGGCTAGACTAGGAGGTTCAAACAAGGATCAGGAGGGATGTGGGAGGTAAGGGAAGGAATACAAGGAGGGACAGATAAAACTAAGAGTCATTTGAGAGGTTGTATGGAAACCTAATACACTAGAAACTTCCTAAAATACATACATGTATGAAAGCAATCTGAATGAAATTGCCATATAAGAGGGGAGACAGAACCCTAGTTGGACAAGTCTTGTCACCAAATGAGACTCCCAGTGCTGGGAAGGGGTTACCTTCTAATAAAGCTCCTGGCTAAAGGGGTCCCAGAGGAATCCCCAAACAACCCAGGCTGTTGCCAAGGCTGTTGGTTATCCACAAACTGATGGAAAGGTCCTGTTGGTGCAGACAACACTTACACAATTCATCGAACACACAGAAGCTGAGCTGGTGCTTACCTAAAGCCTTTACTCCTACAGCCTAGTGTTCATGGTACTGGAAGGCACTCTGCATGCTATCCAAGGAGAAAGGTAAACACAACCCAGGTTCAAAGCCTTCCATCTACAACAGTGACCTGCCTGCAAGACACACTGGTGCAGTAGTGGCACAAGACTTGTGGGAGTCACCACCCACTCTCTGATTGGACCTAAGGCCCACTCTAAGAGATGGAATCCATCCTGACACTGCTTGGGTGGCCAAGAACCTGAGACCAAATAGGCCAGGGACCTAGTGAAAACCAAAAACTACTGTTCTGCTACAAGAATGGAGCAATAAAATGACTTCTGATGACATCCTACTACACTCATAGACCCAGGCCTTGGTCACCAATCATCAGAGAAGTTTCCTCCTACAGCAGGTGGGAAAAGAAAATACAGAGATTCATGGCCAGACAGTATACAGAGAGTGAGAGCCCTTGGGACACTCAGCCCCCAAAGAAATGGCTCCACTGAATTCCTCTCCTTAGGGCTCAGGGAACACTTCAGAAGAGGAGGCAAAAACTGTGTAAGAACTGGAGAGGATGGAGGACACCAAGGATTCAAGACCTTCTAGACACAACAAGAACAAGGCACATATGAACTCACAGAGACTGTGACAGCATTCACAGGGTCTGCATGAGTCTGCATCAGTTGGGGTCCTAGGGCTGAGAGGAAAAGTGGGATGCCTCCATCCTTAACCCAGAAGCTATCTCCAATTGATAACCACTTGCAAATGAACATTTCTTTTTCCCCAAGGGCGTCTCACTGGGGAAATAAACTACCCTTAAGGGTAGACCCCATGCCCAGCAGTAGATGACCAACAGAAAATGAACTCAACAGCATTTTGGAGGTTCTTTGTCTCATAATGTTAAGTCAGGCATTTTTTATTCTTGCATTATTTATTCCCCAAGGTTGTTTGCGTATATATCATGGCTTCCTGTTTTGTGTTCTTATGGGATTTCTATGTGTGTGAACATATGTGTTTCTGTGTCTATATACGTTTCTCATGCTTTTTCCATGGTTCTTTTATCTTGTTTGATTATTTTGTCCTATTCTGACTTGTTTATTTTTATTTCATCTTATTGTATTATATTTTAATCTAATATTATTTAGGTGATCTTTGTTTTTCTAAGGAGACCATGATGAAAAGATGTGGATCAGGATAGGTGGGGAGGTAAGATGGAACTGGGAGGCATAGGGGAGTGAAAACTGTAATCAGAATATATTGTGTAAAGCAAACTTGTTATTTTGCTCTTTTAAAGCAAATTAAACAACAATTAAAAAGATAAGAAGAAAAAATTTAAAAATATAGCAGATTTTTGGAGGAACTCATCTAAGAGGTCAATCAGCCTTCTAAGGAGATATTTTGAAGGGGGAACTCTGGGAACTCTGGAAACATTCTGCCATGGCAATGCCCTTTGAGGAAATCAGGTTAGTAGTTCTCCATTTTCTCCTTTTTGCTTCATTGAAGGTCATCATTGGAAACTCCCTTTCTGTTCTATTGGACTCCCCTTGGGTGTATCCTTAGCCATTGACGTAAGTTTGTCTTGTACAACCTTGGCATATCATATTTTACTGTAACACTACCTGGCTCCAGTACAAACTGGGAGACTGAGAGAGATGATCCTTACATAGTATCTCAACTATAACACCATTTTCCAGTTAAACTTTTTCTGTAAATGACAAAGAAAACGGACTGAAATCCCTTGTGTATGGGCATTCTTGGTCTGTATCAGGACCCTCTGAAGCTCAAAAAGAAAGGACACTCCAACTCTGATCATTATGGATGTTTTTGACTTCTAAATATGGGGCCTCAGGGACAGTCTAATTTCACTAGGGGAATCACTAAGATTGATGCCAGGTACCGTCACGGACCACTTTAGACCAATGTATCTAGCGTTGCATCCTTGGCCGGATGTCTATGAGTACTTTCTGGGGATCAGACCCTCTCTTAGTTTGGTCCCTGATCCATGGGTTTAATCTGAACTGGTCATTAAAATTCTATTTGTTTGGATATCCCTTTTGGTTCTAGGACATTCTGTTTATTTTTCTTTCTTTTTAGAATGTTTGGGCTGTTAATTTGTTAGCATTTGGCTGTTCCTTTTCTACTCCTCCAATGGCTAATTCAAGGAAGGAGACAGTGTTTAAAAAAAAATACCCATTTCATTGTCCAGCTGGCCTTTTGGTTAATAATAATTATGTTAACCCAACTTTCAAATATTGGAAATACTGAAAAGAAAAATCTAACGAAAGATAACGAGGTTTTATGCTTTCCTAAATGATGAACATCCATAAATGTGTTTCTGCATACTAAACAGAATACAAGGCAATAAAATAAAAGATCGTGTAATTGTTTTTATGTGGGACAAAACTCATCCCATCCCAGAAATTCCTAAAACATGACTAACAAAATATGTGGCCACTTTATAAAATTGCTGGAGTTTTTTTTTTTTGCATGCATATTTAAATATGAGTGTATGTGTATGTATAAATGTAAACATTTGGGGGATGCTCTGTGGATTGCTAATAACCCCTCTGGGGGAAAAAAACAGGTTTTTGAAGATTCTCATCTTCATCAAGTCTTGATAAAATACAACTGTAAGAATCTGAAACAAAGGGAAAACTTATCCAACCACTTAAATGCATGTAAAGACATTTTAAAATTTAGAGATGATTCTAATGTGTTTTATTGCATCATAATTATAATTTCTCTTTTACAATATATTTTGGGCAATTTTTTTCTCTCTGTGCTTTTAGTGCTAAAGAAAAAGAAAATGCTTTCAGATGAGTGTTGTAGGATGATATTCTCCAAGCATAATATTTGTCATCCTCATCAGAACAGCTGTGACTGTTTGCAAGAGACCCATGAGATCAGGCCTGTTGACAGATGATGTTCCCTCACAGAAGGAGATGGTTACAAAGGGTCACTGGGTGCTCACCTGAGGATCCTGCACCTCCCCATCATTTAGATGTGAGTCTTCTCTAATTTCTCACTGGGAGATTCTAGAGTACATAGAAGATGGATGGTTAGTAGATGTAGAAACTCTGTCTATGAAGCTATGGAGAAGTCATCATCCACAGGGACATGAGATTTTTCTGGTGGTACAGCTGCTTTGGTGTAATCCATGCTCCTAAAGCAAAATAAACTCACAGGTTTCCCCAAGTTTAACTTTATCTACCCACTATCCTCCAGCTTTTAAAGCACTAGCAATAAGACAAGAGACAGAAATTATAGGGATACAAATAAGAAAAGAAAAAAATCAAACTACCCTTATTTGTAGATGGCATGATATTATGCATAGGAGATCCCAAAAATTTATCCAGAAAACTTCTAGATACTATCAACCATTTTATTAAAGTGCTAGGACATAGAATCAACTTAGAAAAAACCATAGCTTTTCTATACACCAACAACAAGCATAATGGGAAAGATAAGAGACATGTTCTCATTCACAAATAATATCAAAATAAGTAAAATATCTAGGAATAGACCTAACCAAGACTGTAAAAGACCTCTACAGTGAAAACTTGAAATCTCTGAAATAGATTCAGGAAGTATGGAAAAATATACAATGTGCATGGATTAACAGAATTGACATTATGAAAATGACCATTCTACCAGATGCTATTTACAGATTCAATGCAACCCTAATTAAAACTCCCTTCTCATTCTTCCCAGAAATATTCATTTGGAACCACGAGAGACCCTGGATAGCCAAAGCAATTCTGAACAAAAATGACAATGCAAGAGGGATTATCATTCCACATTTCAAGATATATTATTATGTAGAAAAGCACAGTTAAAAAAAACAAAAACAAAAACAGTGATACTGACAAAAACGGGCACGTCAACTAATGGAACAAAATAGAAAACTCAAACATGAGTACATACAATTATAGCCACTTAATATTTGAAAAAGAAAACTGGACGTCCAAAAGCAGAAGAATGAAATTAGAGCTGTATTTATCACCTTGCACAAAAACTAACTCTAAAACTCTAAATGGATCAGAGACCTAAACCTGAAACCTGAAACCCTGAAATTCCTAGAAGAAAACATAGGTAGTGTCGTAGTCTCTGTTCTATTGCTATGAAAAGACACCATGACCACAGAAACTCTTATAAAAGGAAGCATTTAACTGGGGCTGGCTTACAGTTTCAGAGATTTAGTCCATTATCATAGTGGGGAGCATGGTAGCACACGGGCAGACATGGTACTGGAGAATTAATTGAGAGGTTTACATCTGGATCTACAGGCGAGAGAGAGAGAGAGAGAGAGAGAGAGAGAGAGAGAGAGAGAGAGAGAGAGAGAGAGACACTGGGCCTGGTTTGGGCTTGTGAAACCTCAAAGCCCACCCCCAGTGACACACTTCCTCCAACAAGGCCACGCCTTCTCATCCCTCCCAAGGAGTGCCACTCTCTAATGACTAGATATTCAAATATGTCAGCCTATGGGGTTCATTCTTATTCAAACCGTCACAGGCACTATCCTATTTAATATAGGTTAAGAAAGGACTTTGAGAATAGGACTGTATTTGATCAGGAATTAAGGCAAACAATTGACAAACATGATTCATGAAACTGAAAAGCTTCTGCACAGCTGAAGAAACAATAAACCAGGTGAAGAAAGCCCACAAAATGAGAGAATTGTAGTAAGCTATACATATGACAGAAGATTAGCATCCAGAATACATATAAAGAACCCCCAAAAAACAGAGTCAAAAAGAAAACAAACAAACTAATGACTTATTTGAGAAATAGGCCTGCGCCTGAATAGAGTTTAGGGAAACACAAATGAAGACCACTTTGAGTTTTCATATTGCCCCAGTCAGAATGGCAAAGACCAATGGAACAAGTACTGGAGGGGATGCAGGGAACAGAAACCCTCATTCACTGTTGGGGGATTGCAACCACTGGTACAGTCACTGTAGAAATCAGTGTGGACACTTCTCAGAAGGCCAAAAATAAATCCACCATAGGACCCAGCTATACCAGTCCTTGGCACAGGCCCAGAGAGCTCTGCATCCTACATTACAGACACTTGCTCAGCCTTGCTCATTGCTTCTCTGATCACAATAGTTAGGAAGTGGAAACATCCTAGATGTCCTACAACCAGTGAATGGATAAGGAAGATGTGGTGCATGTGTACCATGCTGTTCGGCTACGAAGAAAAATGAAGGCATGAATTTGCAGCCAAATAGACGGAAGTAGAAAATACATTGAGCGAGGTAATCTTGCTATGATAGATGCTGAATGTTTTCTCTTATCCATGGTTTAGCTCCAGATCTTCAGATGGGAGACCTGGAATAACTGCATAAACTAGGAAAGTAAAAATGGACCATGGTGGGTGGGATGGGGGAGTGCTGGAGGGAACCAGGAAGGGACAAATGATATGAAGGGGGACTGTCATAGTGACTTCAGTCGGGGAGGGGGAGGGAGGAGGAAAAACACCATTAAGGATGTTTGACAAAGCTATGAGGAATCATCTTTTTATTTACTTAAAATTACATATAATACATACAAGTGTGTGTACACATATACATATATAGTTTAATGAAGTTATTACACTTGGGCTGATAGTGCTCATCCCCAAGAGCCAAAGACTATCTAACAAAAGCTCCAATACCAAGCCTGGTAAACCCTTTTTGAGTTGTTGATTCAGGGGTCCAAGAGACTCCCCAAACAGCTATGGCTGTTCCCCTTTGCTACCTCCCAGAGGCTGAAGTTTCCTCCATATTGCTGAAGACACAATGCACTTTGAAAACAAGACTGGCAAGCAAGTACCAGTGGGTTCTGACCTCAAAGCCTCTTCCTGTTGCCCTGGCAACCTAGAAAGGAAGCACCCCCTTAGTATTTAAATTACCATATAAAAAAGTGGAAAAGCCTGGGCTTTGTTAAGACTCACTAAGGCAAAATTACCCTTTCCTCTTAAAAACAACAAAAACAAAAACAAAAAAACAAATAAACAACAAAAGAATCTGATCTCCTGGGGCAGTGACTTGACATGCAAGCTACCCCAAATATTACATAGTACTATCTCATCGTTGTAATAGTTAATATTGCTAGATCTGTCAATTACCTAGCAAGGAGTGCCCCTTCCTTATAGGAGTCACCTAAAGATGGGCTAAGGAGGGAGGAGGAGGAGGGGGGGAAGAAGAGAAGAAGGAGAAGGAGGAGGGGAGGGAAGAGGAGGAGGAGGAGGAGGAGGAGGAGGAGGAGGAGGATAGTTATCTCCTTAATGAGATAATGAATGCATTATTCTTTCCTAGTGGCCTCCCTCAGGTCACTTGCTTACAGAGCTTCTATCACACGGCCTCCTCACTTTTCTGAGTCCTAACTTAGATGAGGATAACTTTTTCTTCCCCTTCTTTCCTAGCACTTTTTCTTTCAGATACTGACGGAAGCCTGAGCATACTTTCCCTGACCAACCTTCTCCCAAGTATTAAACAAAAATAAGTAAATAAAGGGGTGGAGATTCAGTTCTATGGTGGAGGTTTTCCTTAGCACAGCTAGGTCCTAGAGTCCATCCCCAGCACTACAAATGAAACAAAATAAGGCATAAGTTTAAAAAACAACTGGTAAAGTTAGAATAACTTACTTCCTGGGAATTAATGAGCCAAGAAGAATTCAATGTGAGCTGACATGAAGTTTCCTCCTCTTTTTTTTTTTTTTCAATTAGGTCTTTATTTCATAAAGCAAAGTCTAGGGAAGATGTGGTTGTTTGAAAGACATGACCTCTTGAGCTTATTATATGTTTGACTACTTGATTCCCAGTTAGTGGAACTGTTTGGGCAGGATTAGGGGGTGTGGTCTTGTTGGAGGAAGTATGTCACTGGGAGTGGGCCTTGAGGTTTCAGAAACCCAAGCCAGGCCCAGGCTCTCTTCCCTTCCTGCTGCCTGTGGATCAGGATGCAGAACCCTCAGCTACTGAGTCTCTGGAAAAGTAAGCAAGCCCTCAACTAAATCATACTCCTTTATAAGAGTTTCCTTGGTCATGGTGTCCCTTCACAGCAATGGAACACTGACTAAGATAGTCTCAATTTACTCTGATAAATTTATAGGCATTTAAAAGGTAGAAAATCCATTTTACTTTTAGGGGTAAAGTTCTTCTTTAGTCTATGCCTCGTGGGTGGTGCCAGACAAATGTTATTTGCATGCCCAACAGCTCCAAAAAATCCTGCACTCAAAAATATGGAGGGGTAAATGTAATGGTGGCTTCATTTGGGGAGAAGGAGGGAGCTCAATACAGAAGCTTTCAAAAACAAGCTCACACAATCCCCTTGTGGCTATTTTCTCAAAATGTGTGCTCTCAGCTACTGCTCCAGCACCATCCTTGCCTGCCTTTGCCATGCTCCCTGCCGTGATGGTCACGCACTCTAACCCTCTGAGACTCTAAGCCCAGTAAAGCCCCAGTAAATGGTTTCTTCTGTAAGTTGGCTTGGCCATGGTCTCTCATCCCAGCAACAGAAAAGTACCTAAGACTTTGTCAGGTTGCCAGGAGTAATCGAAACTATAAACCATGATTTATATGTGAAATAAATGCATTTTAGTCAAACTATTTACTAAACATCTAAATTCCTAATTTATTCCTTTCAGGAAGAATTATTTTTTTTCTATGTGTAAATCTATTGGAAAAAATATCAAATACTAAGAAGTTTACCTCACAGAGACCTGTTTGCTATCAGTTGGGGTTCCAGGTTCTTGGTAACTTTATCAAAGAATCAAGACAGTAGGGATGGTTGATGAGGAAGACTCTAGAAGTCAAAGGTGGTGGAGCATGCCTATAATCGTAGCACTTGGGAGGCAGAGGCGGGTGGATCTCTGAGTTTGAGGCCAGCCTGGTCTACAGAGCAAGTTCCAGGATAGCCAAGGCTACACAGAGAAATCTTGTCTCAAAAAAAAAAAAAAGAAAGAAAGAAAAAAAAAAGAAAAGAAAAGAAAAAAGAAAAGAAAGAAAGAAAGAAAGAAAAGAAAAGAAAAAAGAAAGAAGTCAAAGATGAAGAAAAGGAAGGGTGTGTTACAAGCAGAGGACTGGATAGAATAGTCCCCCATCCTGCACTTTGTTTCTACACTTCTTTGTTTTGAGTTTAGGGAAGGGTCCAGGGTGGAGGTGGAGGGGTGGAGGTTATTCTTAGAGGTAGGAACTGGGTGGATCCTCATTCTGACTGACTTTGAGTTGGTGTATAACTTTGGGAGATCTGCGACTACGTAGGCATCACATCATTTCAATCATAGGTGTGTCCCATCGCATGTACACACAAGATAAAACTTTCCACTGGTAGGTATTTCAAGGATAGACTTGCTGTCAGTGCACTAGCATTAAATACTGGCTTAAGCTGGCCTGGCTTAGGTCTCCTTCAACCAAGAAGAACCTGACCAGACATTACCAACAGGAGGAGCTGGGTGTTTCCTTACTGGGAAAGAAGAGTTGCCCCAGGTTGCCCCCAAATTACTGGAGCTATCCCTATACTAAGCTACCTCCGATGACTCACTTCTGCTTCCCTTTCTTTGTATTGACAGTTCCTTTGTCATCCTTCTTTGAGACAGGAGCTGATACAATTCTCAGACAAGTACAATGTATCCAACAAAGCACTCAAGCCATGAAGCGGACATACCTTTAGCCCATGATAAGAAACCATGCTGTTACAGTTTTTCCTTGTGATGAAGTTCTGAATGGACAGTCACAGCATACACTCAAAAGCCTACCTAGGGAGGAGGGAAGGTGTGAAACATCCTGCTACCTCGCTCTCTAAGTAGCAGCTCCCCTAGACTGTGGTCAGGGCCTTCAGTAGGCTTTTGTTGCTGTTTCTCAGGGCTCAGCCTATTGAAGGAACATGGGACCCTGGCCATCCTGTGTGTTCCCCAAGACAGCCCCCGAGGGAGTGCAGGTCTGTTGGGGAGGGGGGGGGGCGGCTCCTGACACTGAGTTTCTTATAATCTTCAACCGCTAATCTTGACAGTTCAACTCTCCCCTGGTGAATTAGAAAAGTCATATAAAATCCTTCCTATTTTCCCCCCCAGATTGTGAATTCAGACATTTGAGTTATAGTAATTTTTTTCTAAAACTAAAAACAATGTTTAAAACCCCATTTTTATCGGTAAAGACTTAAAAAAAAAAAAAGT